ATGTTACATCATTTGTTGAATGATAAACTCACAAACAAATTTAAAACTTGAGTTGAATTAACACACTTTATACACTGTTTATAAAGAATCAGTCATTAAATGTAAAAAAATATTTATATTCTATATAAAAATTATGTACAAATGTATGTTAGTAATAAAAACTTATAATAATTAAGTATTCGGCATTCATAATTAATAATATGATTATTCATGAAATAGGAGATAATATCAAATAGTAAGAAAATTAATATAATAGTTTTTGAGAAACATATAAATATATTTTAATCATTAAATATTGAATTTTATATATCTAATTCTATAAAATTTAACTTTTTTGCATGTAAGAGTTTTGGATCCATTAAGGTAAAAAAAGTACCGAAAATTTCTTGACGATGAAATTTATGTGGATTTTGTATAGGAATATTATGAAAATGTAACTTATCTATTATGTCATGTTCCCAAACTATCGTTTCATGTAATATTGTCACTGATTTGTCATACTTGCTCGATTCTACAAAGAAAAATGTTTCATCAAAATATTTACGGAATGCGGCCGGGTATTTTAAACACGTAGCTCGAACAATTTTTTCGATATATTCACAATTTTCTGCGTTGCATGTATCTGTTACAGTTCTTAAAACCATTATATCCATTATATCATCTGTAAAACATAATTATTTGAATTTTAAGCTTTTTTCACATTCACATAATACATAAATTATAATGTTTACCAATGCAACATGACAAAGGCTCAAGCGTTAGTATTGGAACATTGCACAATTGTATTCCAATGTCCCATCTGTGTTTACGAACTAAATGTGATAAATCTGGTATCGCTTCCCATATATTTTTATCAGGAATATACATACAAATACAAGCCGAAATGTATATGATTAATTTTTCATGAATAATATAATACTCAGGTATTGAAACAAATGTTACAGGTATTTTCGCACCTTCTGTCCAAATACCTGTACAAATTAACAAAAATGAAAGCAAAAATTAATGTAACAAAATAATTATTTTCAATAAGGGATAATTTAATTCAAATTACTTTTTACAATAATTGAAATAAAAAGTAATTATATACTAAATTTAAAAGATTATGTATAATAATCTAATAATTATCTAATCTTTATATAAAACGGAAAGGTCCTATTAGCATATATCCATTCATATCGGCTGATGTTTAGAAATTTTCCAATGGATCACTAATCAGAAAATTTTATATTTAATTCATCAATCAGTGACATGTGTAATCCAATTCCGCTCCATAAAATTGCGTATATAAAAACTCTATCTTATAGAACATATAATAATAGTTTTTATACTATATAATTAAACTTACCTGTACAAATATCATAAATATCAACACTATCCAGTTTTTGTCTACAGTATCCTACACCGCCTACAAGCATTAATTTATTATTGAGGAATACCGCGATCATATGTCTTCTCCTATTTGGCATTCTAAAATAAATATTAAAAATTATTTTTTACAAATAACATATATTTCATATTCTAAGATTATCTTTATCATCGACTATCATTAACGAGGTTGAGAAAGAGATAATTTTAAAAAATAACTTGATTACTATTATTGTTTTGTAAAAAATAATAAATCGTTACAATTTTTTTCACAAAATTTGAAAGATCTTTTTAGAATTCGCTTATATTTGTTTCATACATGTATGAAACGTAATAATTGTATATATGCAAAAAATAACGATTATATTCTTTATCATTACCCAAGAAATTTAAGTGTGTTACTATTTTACTGTTACAAATAAAAAATATGTTGTTACCAATACATTGCTTAAAAAAGTAACAATAATAACATTATAATAATAACATTTTTTTTAATTCTAGATATATAATTATACTCTACTTACTCCGCTTCAAGAAACCATTTCTTAGAAATTAGAGAATAACGCCACACTTTTGTATTGTATTTTCCTGTGCCAATACCAAATTCTCCACCACAAAGATATAAATCATATCCTAAAAGGAGCATATAAAATGATGAATAAGATAATTCTAAAATAAGACAAAACAGAATTAAAAAATGGACTATTTACCATGGCCAGTAATTCGTTCTCCTATTAATCTATTTTTAGAATCGCTGATGTTACGATCTATAATCTCCTTAGGATATTTGAATGAAGTAAGTTCAAAAAAATTGCTACCATCCCAACAATGAATAAAAAATTCATTTGTGATACAATGGTTTTCAGAGGATATAATAGCTTGTACAAAGTCTATATGCTTAATTTTTTTAATCTTTAAAGGAATTGTATCCTGCAAAAAATAACTTTGTAAAATGATTTAAATGCTATTTGTAGAGTCCAATTTGTTGTTGAAATGTTATAATTATATAACTTAAT